GTCAACCTTTTGAGCTCGGCGTGTCAGCATTTTGAAAAACCCTAACTTAACTCTGATGCCATGTCACATATAGAAATTTTTTGATATTTGCAACCATAGTAAAAGAAAGACTTATATTTTTGATATTTATTTTATATATTTAAATGTCATTTAACAAAGAAAAATCAACCAAAAAAATGAGTTTGCGTGTCACCTTTGACACGCATGTCATAGGTTCGCCATCACTGCTATAGAGCAAGACATGTAAAACAATTGGTAATGAAAAATAAACACAGATTCCAGTAAACCTTGCCCACCCTTTTCCTGGAACTCCAGCGCCTCAATGAGCCCATTCCCAGGGTAGAATCCCACAAAAACAAACAACAACAACAACAAACACCAGGTGGTTCTAGTAGACCAGGCTCCGCCCCTCACCGGCTTCCTCTCCAATGTCGTCGGAGGGGCTAATCCCAAACCTGTCGCCCCCACGTCTTAAGACTGAACAGAGTGACACCTCACCCAGGTGATGCCGAAGCCCATCTCAGGGGAAAGCATCGCACGTCCCTCGCGCCTCCACTTGGCCACCTGGAGCTCTGGTTCACACCCTGCGGACTGCCGCTGTCTCGGAAGGTAGCTAACCGGGTGGCACTGGACGCCCGGGCGATGGCTGGCCTGTGGAGGGAATCCAGGTGCCTTATTGCCTAGCGTGGCCTGTGGCTGTCTAGCCACTTCCCGGGATCCTGTCCTCACCTGCACCTTCTGCCAAAGGAGCCACATCCCGGAAATGCCAAATATTGAAATAGTGCAATCGGCAAGCCAGGGACTAACCGTCATTTGGAAGTCAGGACTACCAGCTTCTGACTGCAGGTTGCAGGCCAGTGGGAAGACCATGAATTGAACTAGCAAAACTATGGTCTAGCTCCCGGCCTGAGGACCATTCACTTCTGCAGCCAGAAAGCTGAACTATGTCGAAGAACTGGCATTTATTTTCCAAATTTTCTTTGAACTGTTCCACTGCTTGTCACCAAGGGAAAGTAGACTCCATCCTTTTCAGTGAGCCCCAGGCTGGGCAAATCTACAGGGAAGGAAACCTGATGGGAGTCTCGCTGTACTGTCTGTGTGACAGTGATGGGAATTCATGAAATTTTCATTCTTAGCAAAACTGAAGTTTATATTCAACATCCATCATATTGTTAACTACATTACTATCAACCTGAAAGGAACCTAAATTCCTAGCAGGGTACGTAGGAAACATTTTTCCCTTTCTATACTCTTTCAGTATGAGAAACATCAATCCATCTACATTTAGATTTGCCTCCCTCAGGTAGTATCTGAGCACACAATGTCACCAACTGATCAAGCCAGCACACACCCTCCTTTGAAAAGTCCTCTCTGTTCTTATTCTAATCACAAAACTTGTCTTTTCCTTCAGACCTGTTAAAAAGTAAATTTGTAAGCCAATAAGCACAGCCAGATATTCAAAAGGAAATGTTCACGGCTAGGGTGGATAGACTTTTCAAAATAAGATGTCCTGTTTTTAAAGGATGTGCTTCTTTTTCTAAAATATATTTTTATTGACATCAGAGAGGAAGAGGGAGAAATAGCAATGATGGAAGGATCATGGATTGATAGCCTCCTGCACACCCACCACCGGGGACCGAGCCCAAAACTGGGAATGTAAACATGACCTCCTGGTTCATTGGTCGAGGAGCAACACTAACTAGGCAAGATGTCCTCTTTAAACAATTGTAGACTACTCCTGAAGATCTTGACTCAATCTTCAGGAAATCCCGAGTCTCCTTTACCCTTTTTAACAGAATTCCATTCTTGTAAATAGCCAAAAAATAATCATAGAATAATGTAACAAAAAAAGGCAGAAAAAACATGTTTCTGGGACCAAGAGAAACCATGAAGCCATTGTGCCATAAAGCAGAATGATAGATTGCCAGATTAATTCAGAAACACAACTGTCCAGGAATCCTCTAAATACCCAAAGGTCATACCTTTTATAGCCAAACAGCTAACCCAAGAAAAGCAAATTTGTCAGCTCGACAGGACATCCAAGTACTCTGTGGACCAATTAAACTCTACATTTTAGAGCCAGAGTTGGGTGAAATAGTGAGGGCCTGTTTACGTAGGTCAGGGAATAATCTTCTAGAAACCAGGGCATCATTGGAGAAACCAAGGTTAACCTCAACTGGAGGGATGCTCTAAAATAGAACACCTCAAGGTTTTGAAATTAATGTAAAGACACATTACAAGCTACTAGCCTCTATGCTCCAATTCATTAGTTAAGTTCCCCTCCTAAACTGAGCATAGCAATTTGGGGAGCAACTACACAGCTATTTGCTCCTTTGAAATGTCCTTGTACCAAAGAAGCTTTGAGCCATCCATCTAGCACTTTCCAATATATACTTGCTTAAGGGCCAACCAAAGAATTCCCTTTGCTATTGGGCACAAAGCACACACTACTCTGTAGCCGTTTTCCAGTACCCTAATGTTGCCAGTTTCCTCACAGCCTAACACTATACAAGATTTGCAGGCATAGGGGAATCTCAATAGGAAGAAGTTACCTTTAGTGACTTTTTATTTTTTAATTCACAAAATGTTATCACGTGACCTATAACCTAGCCATACCACAATCTCACCAGTACCTAAAAACCAGTTTTGGTGAGGGGTAACTTTGTAAAAAGCCACAGGCTTCCTTGATGTGTATCAATTAAAGTGACTTCCCCCCACCCCTCAGGTACTTGCTTTATTCCAATTAAGTCCTTTTTCTGTGTCTTATACATACCTTTTTGTGTAGCTGTTGCCTGTGCTCTACTTACTGCTTAACTATTTAACATTTTCCCCACTTCCTGTCACTATGAACACAAATAAGACAAAAACTTGCTTATCATCTAAGTCCAAATGCAAGAAACATTTCTCTACAAAACAAGGAGAATGACCCCAGTCAAAAAACTCTTTATGTTCCTTTATTGGAGCAAGATTCCTGACCAGTATACAGTGATGTATTCACTAAACAGAGACCTGTGCAGAAATTACATACTATCCATCTAGATAGGTTTAATTACACTTTGCCTATTGATGGAATAGTTCACTTATAAAATGTTTTATATCAAATAGCTCTGAATTTGACCAGGCTGTCCATTAATTCATCTCTGAAAAAATTAACTGGCATTTAATTTCAGCTACTATACTTTACAGCATTAAAAAGCGTAGGCATTAGGTAGCTTCTCATAATGTTGTTCTATGCACAATGGCATCCAGCAAACAGTCCATCATCTCACCCAGATTCACGGATGGGTCTCACTGGAGAACGGTAAGCTAAATAGCTACTACTTGAGACAAAAGTACGCCTAACCTGAGTTTCTTAACCACCAATATGGACTTCTTACTCTGCGAGCCTGTCTTCTGGGCCGCCTTTATAGGGTCAACGAAGACACGCCAGCAATAGCCCTGTGTGTAACTCAGCATTAGAGCACCAGGTCTGTCTGGTGGTGGTGGCAGGAAC